CTGAGTTCCGTTCTAAAGATAACGTTGAAATATCGGCTGTTGTGACAGTACCTATGCCCCTCCCCGGTGCATTTGCGGGTCATTTCTGTAAAGTGCTAAGTTCCCATGAAGAGGCATTTTTTCGTATATCTGCCCAGTGCTGGGCATTTGTTGTCGTACCTTTTGAGTTTCCATTTTTTTCTATTAGGCGTTGGCATGAGGCTATGTACAGGCGCCTTCGATAAATTTTATATTCCCATTTTCATTTTCATTTTTTCTCATTGATCATTTGTATGTTAAAAGACACTGTAGCAAATTACTAGATTATTATTATTATTTATAATATTATCATTAATTACTGCGTGCATAATACAAATATGGGGTTGTAAAGAATCATATTGGGCTTTCCAATAGAGGCCAATAATATTTAAATCTTGTCTTAATGACAGCGCGATTTGTACACGCAGTGTTAAAATTTTTATGATCTTTGTGTTGTACATGACATTATGACATCACATCACACCACAACGTCTTGTACATGAATGTAAATAACTTTGATTAACAATACCATTGTGCATTTGCATTCGCATTCAAAGCGGAGCTCTAGGTACGCGCGAACGCAACAAAAACCGAATAGAGAAACAGCGTGGGGTAAGGGTGAATAATCACAAAACTTCCTGAGGGAATTCCTAAACGTATTCATTTCAATGATATATCGTCGCTTTCATAGCAACCATTTATAGAGGAAATGAATCATACGCTCACGCCTTAAGCCATCGAAGGATTTGTCAGAGGCATAAGTTTCTTCTGATTCTTCTTCCAAAACCGGCGGCTCAAACTGGTACGGTTTACCGCTGCCTAACACATTATATCAATCGTTTTTGTCATTCAAAAGTCTTCGTAATAACACGCCGGGTCAGCTGTCTCAAAAAAGTCGTCATTTAGTTACCGCGGTCACACCAGCGGTCTTACCCAAAAAAAATGGCGGCCAGAAGACAGCGTTTCTCCCGCGAACAAGTAATTGAAGAAGTTTTGGTGGAGAGTGAAGAAGCCGAGGAAGATGAAGGCCCTGAAGTTAATGTAAATGATATTTTGGAGACGTCGATAGGCAATTTTACCGCTCTTCGGCGCTCTATTTCCAATTACACCCACTTTAGGGAGGAAGCTAGTCAGCTAATGCTGAATGTCTACCACCGACATGAGGTTGGGGTGCATGGGATGGATAAATCTCTCATGTCTTCCCTCCCGGCGTGGCCCATGATCACATCAGAGGTTCTGATCTGGCTGAACAGGATAAGAAGGCGGATGTCAGCAAACCCGAAGGCTTCCAATCCATGGACTATAGAGGTGAAGCGTGACCTCCCCCAAGAAATATTTGAAGTTTTAGTGAAGTCTGTGCAGGGGGCGCCTTCAGCTTTTGGGGTGTCAGTGGAGGACAATGTGATTAAATACACTAAAAAAAATCGTCTCCTGCGCGATTTCTCGAGGTTTTGTGGCATCCCTCAGAGTGAAGTCGCCAATAAACTTAAGAAAAGCTTTGGCGGAAACCGTAAAGGTTTTAAAGCAGAGGTGCTTGCAAGCAGAGAAAAGCCTCTTTCTATATCCTACAATTGCAAACGAAAGCAGCTAACTCTAGTTTGCAATTATGGATGTTGGAATGAGTTTGGGTACAGTTTTCATGGGTAGTAAAATATGACATTTAATTACCTTCTCTTTTTTTTTTCTTACTATAAAATATACAAACTATTTTTAAGTGTTTTAATTTCAGGGGCAGATCTGAGAATCTCCAAAGTACATTTTTCATTGCTAATATTTACAGATGATTACGGTATATAATATATGTAACGTTTCAAAATATCTCAAGGAAACACTCGAGACAACTCTCAGAGTGGCCACTATTCAGTGCATTATGGCCTGTTAAATCACGGTAAAGTTACATAAAATGCAGTTGTGTGCAGTCATTTGTCACTCAACAGATTATACAAGAAATGCTGAAGTTTCTGAAGCAAAAACAGATAACAGCTAATTGCGAAGGTCAGATGCTGTTTACTTACCCCAATAATGTGGTGGCTGCAATTGACACTTCATGTAACTTCACCTTTTCATGATTTTAAATACTTTTCTGAGACTAAGATAACCCTGCAACAATTTTCCCTTCTTTTACACTTTTATGTATTAGTGTCATAAGATGATCACCACATAAACAACAGCTTTGGTCAGCAGGATCAGCTTTATGTAGTCCACAATAACAATAGTTAGTGTCATTAAAAACCCTTTGGGGAATGTAAACATTTTTACTAGGAGTGTAAGAACAAGGTTCATGATGCTGTTCAGGTAACCATAGTAACATAATAAATTCATGCCTGAAAATTTCAGCCCATCGATTCTGGTAGGTGGTGTTTGCACTCAACTTTTGCAAAGCTATATGCTTAGCTTCTCTACCTTCCATTGTTACTGTTAAAAGACCTTGACCGTACTTATCATAGACTTGCCTGGCATGAGCAGGCACAACATGACCAATGGTCCAGATGGTGGGATTTACTGAGGTGGGTAATAGTAGTGCATTGGCACGATAGTACTCTTGTGCTAAGGTCGGAAGTTGCTCAAGATGAGTATCTTCCACTTCAAATCGATTGATGATTGAACACAAATCCCTCAGTCTTAACCCAACATAAGCAAGGGTGAGCACAGTCTGCTGTTGTTTTTGACTGTCTCCTTCCTGCCTCAAAAATGTCAACAACCTTGCAAAGTTGTGACAAAACAACCGTGACTCTTTGCCTGTAAAACGATACTGTAAATCCCCCGACTTACCCTGTGTTTCGTCAAACCATTTTCGAACCTTTTTGGCCAAGCGACCAGCCTTCACTTCACATTTGAGAGCAGTGACCACTCTCCCTAGACAGGTATCCTGTGGGACCTCTGCAAATGTTTTACAGGTTGCTGGTATGTTGGATTTGGCCACTGCCTCCTTTAACAATACTTTGAAAAAATACCCCCAAGCATTATTTTTGAGATGAAGTGGCTCTACATGAGCTTTGTCAATTAACTTACCCACCAAAGGAAGACATTCTTGACGGCTCTTTTGACGAGCTATAAATTCTGTTACTTTAGTTCTCTTCTGTTTTCTGGACAAAGGTTTCCCATCCAGGGAGGACTTCAAAGAATCTACTTTTTGAACAACCTTCAGTCTACTTGAATACTCCCAGGGTTTCCATTTACATGAAGGGCTGGACCCAAATGTGCCGCTTAAGTCAGTACAGTCATTTGTACTCACATTTGCAAATGACGAAAAGAATGTAGCAGAATTGCTTAGCTCCCCACCAAGCATTGCAAGCATTTTCATGTCATTGGGAAGCTCCTCAAAATGAAATGACACTTGTAAACCATTAATTTCAAATATACGTCCATCTAAATCTACAATTTGTTTGCATACAGAATTTAAGTACTTTTTTACAACAGGAGACGTCTCCTCTACATTAGCACCAAAGACTAAAAAATTGTCACTGCTGGATGCCACTCTCTTTCCTACATTCAGAAAACTAATAAGGAATGAACAAGCAGATTCATTTTTACCAAAAGGACATCCATCCCCCCCAAATGCAACAAGAAACCTACCCTCTGTTTCCCCAAACCATTTCAATGCACCTTTGCGTTTCCCCTGCATATTTAAGTAAAATTTTGCTAGCCGTGGTAAATACTCTCGTAAATCTCTAAAGCACCCATTAATATTTTCATCATCTATGTCAGTACAGAATTCTTCCTCAATATAATAAACCTTTCCTATGTCAATCTTTTTAATTTCACTTACAAGAGAATTATAAGTGATAAGTTTTGGTATGGGACAGTTTGGCATAAAATTAATTGCTGTTTTACCCCCCCTCTTTAAATTACTGGACTTCATTGAGGATGCCTGCCTCACAGCTTGATATTTCCTTTTCCCCATTACCCCAGAAGTATAGTAAGTAGCTATACTTCGCAATATATTATCTTTTGAACATTCAAATTCTGCCAACTGCCTTCGCTTACATTGCTTAATGACATAATTTGTAACCTTACTGTTAGATAATATATAATCACCAAGCACACTAGTTTTGCATTTTTTAGAAACAGTGTGGTAGAGACCATCAAGTGCAGGTCTTTTGTTAGATTTTGTTCCTCCATGAATCTTCATGGCAGCCTGAAATGTTTCTCTACATCTACGCTGTAGTGTCTGAGGTGAGACAGTGTTCGTTGGTGGACGTACACGTGTCACTGTTTAAAAACAGAGAGCAAAGATTATGGTCTGTTACTTTTCATATTTTTAAATTTATATCAGCAGATAAATGTCATACACATGGGCCTCCTTTTATTCAAACAAATATTTTCTCATACAAAAATGACAAAGTCATCTATCTTTATTTCACCTTCAGGGGTGTGAACATTCTTTTCTTGACTCTCAGCTGACAGACATTCTCCAAGTTCTTTTTTCTGAAAAATATTATATTGGCTTACACCTATTAAAGTATAAGTAAGATGTTGAGTCATGCTGCGACCAACCTTCCCCAAAAATATTTTTCAAGTTATATTTGTAGCATGTTGCTTTTAAAATCTGTTTTGATCAGATTTTTTTATTTCGATTGTTTAATGGGAGGTTTCAACAGGAGATGCAATTATGACCAGGCTGATTATCAAAGATTATGCCATCTCATATCTTATTTGTGGCCGCCCTTGTAATATCACAGCAAGCTGGCAAAAAGCATTCCGTTGTTTTTAAAACCTTGTACCCGTTCATTCAAAACCATAGTCTCTACATGTACAATTGTACTTTCTTAAGTCTGTCAGTATAATTTTGAAGAAATACTAATGTCTTTAACACATTGTTGTCAAAATAAAAGAGCTAAAAAAATTCTCTGTTTATGAATGTAAATAGATATTAATATATTCCAAACATTACATTGCATTGAGTCATGCTGGGGCCAACCTTCTGCAAAAATATTTTTCAAGTTTGATTTGTAACATGTTGCTTTTAAAATCTGTTTTGATCAGATTTTTTTATTTCGATTGTTTAATGGGAGGTTTCAACAGGAGATGCAATTATGACCAGGCTGATTATCAAAGATTATGCCATCTCATATCTTATTTGTGGCCGCCCTTGTAATATCACAGCAAGCTGGCAAAAAGCATTCCGTTGTTTTTAAAACCTTGTACCCATTCATTTCAAAACGATAGTCTCTTCTACATGTACAATTGTACTTGCTTAAATCTGTCAGTATAATTTTGGAGAAATACTAATGTCTTTAAAACATTGTTGTCAAAATCAAAGAGCTAAAAAGATTCTCTGTTTATGAATGTAAATAGATATTAATATATTCCAAATATTACATTGCGTGCAGTAGTGTGGATTTTTCATCTTTAATTTTGATTCTCTCAGTCTTAAATAAGAGAATTTAACAAGCAACGGTGTTTACTGTATATCAAATGTCGATTTCTCCTCACTTGCGTGACTAGATGTATTGTTATTGACTAAGAGGAATCTCTTACAGGATCGTGTTACAAATTTATGTCGATCTGTGTTAAAAAAAGGCCCGATATCGGATAGAAAAAAGAAAAACGTTTCGATTAAATGATCACCTACAGATATGCAAAGAATAAGAAAGAATAGGTAAACATGAGAAGGAAATCAAACCTCGTTCCAACCCTCGTTGCAATCGTATGTTAAAATTGTAAGCAGAATTTGAATACCTTATTATCTAGTCTCTGGATTTGTCGCTGCAAGGTTTTCACCTCACTTGAGAGGCTGGCTTTTTCTTTGGCTAGCTCTTGCTGCCGGATTTTTCTTTCCTTTGCGTATTGCCCCACGGCAAAGCGGACATAATCTTTTCTTTTTTGAGGCATCACTGGTGTTGAAGATTTAGAAAATAAGTCTCAGTTATTTGAGTACCAGCCGATTTCTACGAGCATCTGATACAAAACACCCATAAATGAAAGCATTATTTCTGTAAAACTAAAGTGAAATCACCAAAACTAAAAACATACGATTCTTACCAAAGGTTTGGGGTTTCCAAGATTGCAGTTCTCGACTCTGGGTTCAGAAGAACAAAAAAGCCTTTTGAAGCCGAAGTTTGTCATTTTCAGGCCGTTTGCCTATTGCTCCATTATGGGGCGAAAGCGAAGACGAAGGAAAAATCACATATCAATCTTTTCCCATCGATTTTGGTATCAAAATATTCCTTGTTTTTCGCGCTTTTACGGTATTTCGGTTTTCGATTCAGCCCGCGCTTTCCCGGGTTGCAAATCGAGCGCTATTTATACTGCCCTAAACTAGTTCCCAGGTTGACCAAAAATAACCACGGCCAGGACGCCATTTTGGCGACATTGGCGTGACTAAAAAATGCCGACAGCTGACCCGGCGTGTAACCGTTCTAATTTTGATCTTTAAAGTGTCTATAAAGGCTTTGAAGGAAAACTCTTTGCCCAAATCTCACTTAGGATGCTTTCTTTTAGTATTTACCGAATAAAGGTAAAAAGACAAAAAAAAATGTCAATTTTTTTTTGTTCATTTGTTTTTTAAAATAATTTCTAGTTGTAAACTAAAATAATCAATGACAATAAAACAGTGCAAACCATGGACTTGTGCAAATAACTTAAATATATCTTGTTGGTCGTTACATGTTAATCTAAAATTAAAACCTAGCTTACCAGAGGGCGGGAAACAATGCAAGTAGGTGCATGCAAAATAGTGTTTATAGCATAGCTCCAACGAGAGACAAACAAATAATAAATAAATAAACAAGGATGAGGTCGTCTTTCACTGATAATTCTTACTTAACCTTATTCTTATTGTTGCAGGTGGCTGCACAACAACCAATTTGAACAGCTTCCATTTGGGATATTTTATGGTCTATCTAAGCTACAGAAGTTGTAAGTTTGTATTTTTTTAATGTCTGTTGCTTATTATCGAGATTACAATCACCATATTACGGAAGCAACCATGTATATAAGAGTCCGTAAAGAGAACCTACACGGCTTAGCATACAAGGTACATAAAGCGAGAGAGTTAACACAAAAGTGCCAAGCACAGATGTATCTAATATGCATTTAAGAAAATGCTTCAGTCTATTCCCAAGTCTCTTACCAGTTAATATTAAAGACAAAAACAGGAGGCACCCTTTATATATATTAGTTACGCAGCACAGATCAATATTTAATAAGCATCCTAATTTTCTATGTTCTATGTAGTATGGCTATGTCAACCTATTTTCATTCGAGGCAGTGGATCAGATAATTAACTTTAATTTTTGCGGAGCTCTCGGGAGCGCGTGCAGAGCACCATGGGTAAGCAAATCTACCCATTCCAGAAACATTTTGTAATCACTTGACCGTACACCGACAGAACGACAACCGTCCGTCCGCACTAGAGGGCAACCAATGTTTACTCTCACACTTTCTAGGTACTGTTTGGGAACCCAGGAGAAAAAGCCCAGTCTCTTTGATAATACCACAGTACGAATCCAGTAAGATTACAGTGCTTGTATGCGGTAAAAAATGCGATCCTAAAATTTGAAAATGCTCGCGAAGGAGAAGACGGGCCAACATGACGGACTTAAAGCTACAAACAGACTTACGGTGATTTGAAATCACCGTTGGCCAATTATTACCTGTAACTAAAGATCACATTTCGCAAGTGTCATGAGTGAAATCCAGAATAGCTCTGCAAAACAACTCTTTTGTGAATACATAGCACTGTTTATGAGGGTCGAGAGAGCCGCTTGCAGTAAAACCCTTATAAGGGACAAAGGTTTGAACAGAGGCACATGTGCCTCCGATGGTTGCTTCACCAAGAGGGTCGGCCGGAGATTGACTGAACAACTAAATACATTGTATTTTCTGAATTCGAAAGTCCTGCCAAGGTAGAATATTAGCTCGTTTATTAGAATTTAACTTTTAACAAAGGCTCCCACAATGCGACGGCCTCGATCTTTACCAGCTACCGTACGTTTCTTGAACCCCTCTTTACGGGCACCCACTTAACACGGAGACCTTCTTAATTATTATTGAAAGTTTCCCTTAGTAGTTAGTAAAATGGGTGTCCTGGCTCAGTTTTCGAATTACCAGAATTTCATTAAGAATAGTAATATAATCCCAGATTATGCAAGGGAATATAAGAATGAATATCTTTTTATAAGAGGGATTGATAAGACATGTGAGAAATTTGTAAAGAAATTAGATAATGATGGAAAGATATTTGATAGCCCACAAGCTAATAATATTAAGTTTCACTTTAATAAATTTTTGAAAGCTCAAGAAATAGAATATCTTAAAGATATTAGTGAGTTTTATTTAAAAGAGAATGATATTAGTTTTGTAGAATCTTTAGGATTACAATTAGATGATTATACTGATAGATATCACGATCCAGAGAGTTATGGGTTTGATCAGGAAAAGTATGATAATAACGTAGAAAATGATTATCCAGGATTTAAAGATTTTTTTGAAAGTTTGAAAATATTCCAGGATAAATTAAAGGTAGATTATAGTTTTGAATCATATATTGAAAAGTTAGAAAATTTAGATACTGAAAGTGAAAGTGAAAGTTATATTGATGAAAGTTATATTGATGATAGTGATAGTGATGAAGAAATTGATGTTGATGAAATATTTGATGATAGTGATAGTGATANTATAAGAGGGATTGATAAGACATGTGAGAAATTTGTAAAGAAATTAGATAATGATGGAAAGATATTTGATAGCCCACAAGCTAATAATATTAAGTTTCACTTTAATAAATTTTTGAAAGCTCAAGAAATAGAATATCTTAAAGATATTAGTGAGTTTTATTTAAAAGAGAATGATATTAGTTTTGTAGAATCTTTAGGATTACAATTAGATGATTATACTGATAGATATCACGATCCAGAGAGTTATGGGTTTGATCAGGAAAAGTATGATAATAACGTAGAAAATGATTATCCAGGATTTAAAGATTTTTTTGAAAGTTTGAAAATATTCCAGGATAAATTAAAGGTAGATTATAGTTTTGAATCATATATTGAAAAGTTAGAAAATTTAGATACTGAAAGTGAAAGTGAAAGTTATATTGATGAAAGTTATATTGATGATAGTGATAGTGATGAAGAAATTGATGTTGATGAAATATTTGATGATAGTGATAGTGATAATGATAGTGATGAAGAAATTGATGTTGATGAAATATTTGATAAACGTTTTGATTTTTCAGTGCCTGATAGTGATATTCTTTAATTATGACTTAAAGTCTTATAATCTAATAATAAGATTATAAGACTTCATGCCTAACCAGTTATTTGATTATCACATTGAAATTTTATGTAAACAGATTAAGGAGGCAAAAGAAACTAATAATTTAAAAAGAGAAAAAATCTTGAAAGGTTTTACTAGACTTTTATCAATTTTTAATAATATTTATAAAATAATGGAAAATTATGAGGATTGTGATGAGTTTGAAGAAACACGTTGTTTTTATTCCTATGTAACTCAAATTTTTTTTAGGTATTTAGAAAATTATATTGAAGGTAAAAAAATTAGTTTAGAACGTTTAAAAATTATTGTTGATTGCTTGGCATATAAATACGCTTTTTATGGTGGAGGTTTTGATCAAAGAGGAAATAGTTATTTATCTTTAGGGAAATGTGTTGGAAAAGATGAGGATGATTTTGAGGATTTAGATATTCCTATACCAATTACAAAAACAGATAAATGGTATAATGATTTAAAGTTTATTAACAATAGGGAAAATCTCATTTGATGAGTTGTGTAGGGAAATTTCCCAATAAAATAATCTAATCAAATAATAAAATGGAATCTAAAAACGATATTCCTACAAAAGAAGACCTAGATTTTATAGTTGATGATGGTTATAATCATGATGAGGATCCAACATATGAACCTAAAGATTCATCCTCGCCAGATGATGATAAATACGTTGTTTCAGGTAAGGAGTTTAAAAAACTAACCAGAAAAGTTAAAAAACTCGGTGCTGAATCGCTTGATTATTCATCACGCAAAAATAACAAATATGTAGCAACACTTTCAAGTGGAAAGAAAATTCATTTCGGGTCATCACAGTATCCAGACTATCTTATCCATAAAGACAAAGATCGAAAAGAGAGGTATCTCGCTCGAGCTAAAAAGATTAAAAATCAACAGGGAGAGTCAACTTATACTAATCCTGAATCGAGTAATTTTTGGTCCGTAAATTTACTCTGGCCAGAGAAATGATTTAAAGATATCTAGTTATATAAAAATGAAAGATTTAATAGTTTCGAAGCATTATTTGGATAATTTTGATGAAAAAATAAATTCAGGTTTTTATCTTGACAAAATTAATATTGATGGTAAATTTGAACTTTTGGAACAAGAAGAAAAATGTCTAGTATTACTTTGTTGTAATGGTAAATCAGATGATGGTAGTGATGGTCTTGCTTTTCGTTTACCACTTTCTCTTAGATTTGATGAAGAATGGTTTAAGAAATATAAAGAAATAAATATAAACAAAGGAAGTATTATTTCTTATTATCTTGATGGATATTTAAAAATGATTTAAAGAAATAAATTTTATAATAAAAAAATGCAGTTATCAAGTTACGATCATCTAACCCCAGACAACATTATCTTTAATGAAGCCAAAGATTTTAAAGTAAAAGATAGCAAGATCAAATACAAACGTATCCCAATTGAAGTCAAAGATCCAAATGGAAAGAAAGGAGCTTTGGTAATCGAAACTCCACTTCTTTTCTCTTTTGGCGTGAGTGAGAAGAATAACCAAGAAACAAACAAGTTAGTAGGTTATAGTATTCCAGTATGTCTTTGGGCTAAAGATAGCATACCGAATACTAAAGAAAAAGCATTTTTTGATGCTATTAACAATGTAACAAATATCCCTCAGCAACATCTAGAGAATGAATACGGTGCAGATCTGGCATCAACTCTATCTTCACCATTTTATTTCAAACAAGAAGAATATACAGATAAGAAAGGAAAGAAGAAAACAAGAATAGATCACTCATCCGCACCAGTTCTCTACGCTAAACTTATTTACTCTGAGAAATCAAAGAAAATTCTTTCACTATTTAAAACAAAGGGAAAGAAAGATTTAAATCCTTTTAAATATATTGATCAATACTGCAATGTTAAAATGGCACTTATAATAGAAGGAATATTTACTAGTAAGACTGTAACATCTTTACAAATAAAAGTACATGAGTGTTATGTTAAACCATTAAAACCTAGAGAGTCTTTACTAACAATTGAAGAGGAAGAGGAAGAGGTTACTGAGCAAGTAGTTGAAGACTTAGTTATCTCTGACAAAGAAGAAACTGAGTAATTATAGGATTTTATTTTTAATACATTATTTGTATTAAAAATCAACCAAATCCTTAGAACTCACCCATGAGTTAAATTTATCAGGATATCCACTCCATTTTACTAATGCCATTTTCTTTTTATTATCCCTCCTGATAATTT